TTTCACGAGCCGGACCAGTATCACCACTATCGCCGGTGATGGCCAGTCAGGGTATCGCATTGAGCGCCGTTACGATGATGCCACAACAGTCCTATTTACTCTCGATGACACCGGTTGCTCGGATCAGCCATCACATGTTTATGTCCACGCTGCCTCGGGCCATCAGAGCAAGCCCTCATGCCTGCACTCTGTCTCACTATCACCAGATGGATCGTTTCTCATCGAGTGTGACATGGAGAAAGACCAGCTCGTCACGATGACAATTGATTATGCCTCACATTCACTACGCCTGCAGGGTATTCGGGACGTCCCGCAAGGCAGTGGCCCACGTTACTCAGCCTTCCACCCTACGTTGCCCGTTTTCTACGTCAATTATGAGTACCGGCCAATAATTGAGGTATTTAATTACAAGTTGGGCGGTGACTATAAATCTTTAGGGATAGTGGATGTTCTTCCAGAGAACCTAAACGGGGGACCCGGTGTGTTGTTGTCGGATCTCCGTGTCCACCCGACCGGAAGATATGTCTACACACTCGTTCGCGGTCATAACGTTGTCAGTGCTTTTGCCGTACACGAGGTGTCCGGTCGCCTACGCCGCATTCAGACTGCCCCTATCGATGGGATCTCGCCCAAGGGTTGCACATTTAGTCCCGACGGTCGATTCTTCTACATCGCGGTTTCTATGAGCAACCAAGTGCAGATCTGGACGATTGATGATAACGGGCTACTTGCGCCGACCCAAGCGACTACGACTGTTCCTCGGCCCAGCGCCATTACGATGGTAGATTTAACACCACCCTGAAGATAAAGATTGTGTTCTGGGAACTGCTGAAGATGCTTTATATTGCTTTTTGTGACATGCAACATACACTGCTCACTGCCCGATACGGTTTTCTCGTTGTCTTTATCATAATGGGAGACATTTTCAGAACATATACCAATGTATAGAAGGTGGTATTTCATTGCAAAACTGTACAAAAGATAAGAATTGCGGTGAGACAAAAGGAACGTGCTAGTTTCTTGTAGGATAATTTTGATGTTGGATGCCCTACTCCATATGGTGACAGAAACATATATACTAGAATATAAGCCGACTGAGCTGCCCAAGCACTCAATAGACAATCGCACGTAAAGAGCAGTAAATAAAATCTGTGAAGTAATAGCTGTGCAGGCTACATAGAAATATAAGGAGGATATAGAAGACAACAAGAGAATGCTACCAGGAGGCAGACAGACACGGCAGATAAATACTTGATTATCTCTGGTGCTATATCATATTAGCTCCCACCCAAAACCACGTAACAGTAAATAAAAAATTTTTAAAAATTAGATCACATAAAAGTCAGAATATACTGACAGCTGAGATTAAGACGTCTTATGTAAAGGGAAATATAAAAGCGGTAGATAAGTTATCACCCAAAGAGTACACAAATTCCGAAATAAATGCCAAAGATATTCTTTACTAATAGATCAGTACATTCCCTAAGATTTACTATTATGCTATGGATAATGCCATCGGTACTGACAGGGCAAGACAGAGACTAGTCGTACATTTTGAGAATATAGAGTAAGTTGGTGATGGCGGGACTGTTTAGCCAGCCCAACATCTATGTGGAAGGCAAGACCCGGACGCACAATCCGCAGTATGCGACGCCGGGGATAATTCGAGACAAGATCTTCCGGGTGCTTTGGTTGGCAGGCTGAGGTGGCTGGTACAATTGGCATTTTACCTCAAGCGGCATTCATACAGTCGATTTTCTATGCATTAGGTTGTAACCAGAAGAAGTATTTGTAATCCTTGCATTGAACACTGCTACAGAGTACACTTCTCTGGTTTTATCTTTGAAAAACAAAGATACGGTCAGAACAGCCTCCAGGGAGAAGGGTTTCCCATATAAATGACATTCCATCATCATGTATCGGCGCCACGACGTGCGGTAACAAAGCGCATCGAGATAACATAACCGGCAAGCGAGTCGGCCAGGCAAGCCAGTCAGCCACCTGTGTATCCCATACTAATCTAATATTTATCAAACTCCAATATCTCACCCACCGTTAGCTCAATTAATATAAAATATTAAATGAAGCTATGGATATACTTTAAGAAACTAAATATTAAAAATATATGATATAATAAGATTCATATTATATATAATACTAGTTTAAAATAAATTACCAAAAAATACAGTGTAATATATTTTACTTAAATATATATTAATATTTATCTTATAATATTTATATACTAAACTTAGATATATTCTAGTATGCTAATTTCATTAGATAAATCTGAATTTATGAAGTTTGGCTGTAGTATTACAGCTTAAAAATTGCTGGATTAGTATGGCATACACAGGTGGCTGACCGGCTTGCCTGGCCGACTCGCTTGCCGGTTACGTTATAGCTCCGGAGGCTATGTGGTTCATGATGAGCCAAATTTTGTTTTAAAATTTATTTCCCTCTTTTACTTCCTTTTACTTTCGTTTTCTTCTATTCGTAGCCTAGGATTCTGTGCACCAGAGTGGAGTATTTGTTGCTGCAAAGGCCACTGGCCGCTGATCAAGTTCCGCGTTGATCGCGTTTGAATGATTCCACTTGCGGTCAATTCCAGTTACAGTTAGTTACAATAGAATTGAGTCAACAAATACAGGAGAGGAATAGACATGACAAACATGCCAACCCTACAGGTAGGGGTGGAGTTCTTGTGTGTTAGAAGCTTAGCGAACGTAAGTACATTCCAGACGGGCATTATGTGGAGTAATGCAAAGTCCTCCGACCGACCAGAAGACTGGGAAACATGCAAAGTAAGCGGTGCCAGACAAAATTATGAGGTAATTGAAATACTTAAAGTAACGAACAAGCAATTAAGTGGAATAAAAGTTATGACAGGAATATTGAAGACCCCACTGTCGAGAGGGGCACACTTAAGAACAGTGGCCACCCTATCAATGGTTGTAGTAGACCAGCGGTCAAAGCACTGACAGGAAACAGGGACACAATATGAAAACCATTTGAATCCTGTTCTTGTCCGGTAAAATCCTTTCCGCCCCCTTATTTTCTCTTTTGCCCTTCCCTCTGGACCCGTGAGGCTGCACCACATGGCAGTCAGGGACTAGCACGGGCGGTGTCAGGGGGGGTCTTGGCTGCATTACGGAGGGCAGATCGGAACTACTGCTGGTTAGACTTTTTCCTTCGTGCTGGTAGATGCACATGAATCGAGAGCAATAGAAAGCCTTAGTCTATGTTTACATAGTAGGTACCCAGAAAACATCGGTGACTACACTAAATGCCGTGTGCAGAATGTACTCCGTAGTAAGTTTTGATGATCCACCCCTTGTCCTGAATAGGAGTCTTGACGGGCGAGCTCTCAGCAATAGCCAAGGGATTGGCGACAATTCAAAGTGGAGTGAGCAAAGAGGGAAAGTGGTGGAGAAGCCAAGATAATTTACCGAGCCTGTGATTAGTAGTCTTGTCGGCATCTCCGGTGTAGGGTTAGGCGAGGCGTTGGCGGAAATTGCTACTGGCCACCACGGCATCTTCCTGGGGGCTGGAAGATAGCCAGTCGGAGTATAGTAGTATCACAGAAGCATCAATCTAGAAATTAGTGAGCAATCTGCCCAAGTTACCTTGGGGTTGTATGCGACGACACTATTAAAGAGGGAATGAGGGGCGGAATGAGAAAAGAAAAAGATAGGAGCAGTTGAGGGTGTGTGGAGGCCAACAAGGAAAATGTCAGAAACTGCCGCTTCTGACGTAAACTGAATGGAGACTAGTGCTAAAGTCAATTATTTCATAAGCCATGAGCTTATTCAGTATTTGGTACATTCATGTATCATAGGGGCCCGAGGGGGTGCGTGAAGAGGCTTATATAATAATAAATCATGGTTGGTAAAAGTTATCTAGAGTTATAAAAAAGTTATTAAAAGTTATTAAAAGTTATTAAAAGTTATTAAAAGTTATTAAAAGTTATTAATCATTAAATAAAAGAGTCATGTAATTACCCGGATTTAGTAAGGTTTTTTAGGTTATTTACTATTATTTAAGAAATAAATATCAATGTCAATACCTTTATATATAAGTTTAAAATTATTTTATACTTATGTTGTATATCGCGGGAAGATTATAAAATTATATATAATTATATATATATTTTATAATTATTATATTATATCGTATGTAATTACCCGGTATTTGAAATATTTATTTAATTATTTATTATTATTTATATATTTATTTTCTTTTATAAAGATAATTAATTATTAATAACTTTTTCACAACCTTTAATAACTTTGAAAAACTATGATATACTATTTATAATTAACTACAGCCTCCCAACAACTTCCGCCAGCGGCCTACTATGATGCTTTCTCATACTCTCTATAAATATCAAAGGAAGATGCTTCCCGCTTGGGTACCAGAATCTGTTCAAACGATCGTCCATGCCGAGGCCCAACGAGACCATTGTTTTTAGCAACCAACACGAGTCTCTCGGGGAAAGAGGACCCACTTAAGACCCCTGGACCGGCAGTCGCACTTGGACGCCTCGAAAACCGCCTGCACAAGACTGCCGATCTAGTGTTTCGGGAAATCGGACAAGATCCCCGTCGGGCTGGTACTCGCGAATCATGGCACTTGGAACGTTCTAAAGTGAGCTACCGTAGCAGGCTAATACCGGTCCGTACCCCGAATACCAAATAGTGCCATAGACCTAAGCCCCTCGAAAAAGTCTCTACCGGGTAAAATGGGATGCTAGATAAGGATCTACTTGTTTAGTCAACTTTAGCTCATACAGAACGGGTCATAAGGTTGTTTGGGGTAATTTCAATGAGGATCATTGCTCATGTCCCGTGGAGCACGGCATCAAAGCTCACCAACGGGAACCCGTGGTCTAGACTCCATATAAGATGGCAGTTCCCTCCAGTCCGGTCTCGTGGTGACTCCTCCCTAACCTCCCTCCTCTTGGACCCTGTGACCTCTGTACCTGGAGGGGCCTTTTGGCCATTATGCGCCTGCATGAGATACTGATTGGGATCTCAGTGTCTCTGGTCGCTGGGGCCTCAGCGGCGAATTCCACTCTACCTCAATGCGCGGTATGTTCGGGTGCTATTGGATCGCCCTGCCCCCGGCTAACCCGTACAATAGGTTACCTGTCAGACGCAAGTTCTAGCTGCCAACTCGACCTCATGCGCAACGACCGATACAACATGCCTGTGTAATGATGACGCATTTCAAGATGAGATGACGACGTGTGTTACTGCGAAGTGTACAGGCAGAGAACAGCTCCGTATGTCGCAGTGCAGGCTTTGATCTGCTGCCATCTAACAACTTGCAGTCACCAAACGATTAGATAGCCGACAATGCGGAATCCCTGTTCATAAAGGACGCCCCGCCGTGGAGGCCGCTACCATTGTTCCGCTAGTCATCTCAACGCTCCTTTTCTTGAACCGAATCCTCGCGAAGATCATGGGTCTTGGTGGTGGTTGGGGTGCAGACGATGTCACGATTACTATAGCATGGGTAGGTACCACGCTACACGTGCCACGTATCCTTTACTCATGATGACTATAGGCCCTTGCAGTGGGCATCTTTGGTGTCAATGTTAAGAGTAAGTTTGGTTTGTTGGACACCAGGTGATTGTCTAACCATCCTTTAGTGATTGAATTGGGTTTCGGCAAAAACATGTGGGACATTATCCCAATGGACAATATCACTCTGATATTCAAGGTGGGTGTCTACTCATCAATGCCACAATTATGTTCTAATTGTATTTTTAGTGCTTTCAGGGGTTCGTTGTGATGTACAAGACACAGGTTTCTCTAGCAAAGATTTCAGTGTGTCTGTTCTTGTTGAGAATCTTCCAGTCTAATTTGTTTCGTTATACCACATGGGCGGTCATCGGCCTGAATGCCGCTATTGGGATTACATGGGTCCTTACCGATTCCTTTCGATGCATTCCCGTCCACTTAGCCTGGACACAATGGGAAGGGCTCGAAACAGGGAGATGTGTCGACTTCATTGCTGTCACGTTCGCCAACGCTTTTGTTAACATCGCCGTCGATATAATCATGGTGCTCATGCCGGTTTATGAAGTGACCAAGCTCAACTTGTCTGCTCGCAAAAAGTTGGGAGTCAGTGTCATGTTCGCCATGGGTCTAGTGTACATATTGTCTCTCTCGCTGTTGCCGTATCTGCTAACCCTCCTCAGATTGACAGCAGTGGCAATCATTCGTGTCGTCGTTTTCTGGTACAACCGCTGGAACACCAACCTCACTGGTTCGTCCCGGGTCCACGCCCCTGACCAATACCTACTAATTCAGAAGTACAGAACAACTCCAACCCATCGTTCATTGGTCGGTCCTGGAGACCCAAATCGCCGTCATGTGCGCCTGTCTGCCCACATTCCGTGCTATGCTCGTGCATCTCTTCCCGAAAGTCCTGGGCAATACCAGCGACCATTCAACCTATGGCAAACGGAACACGCCTAGCGGAGGTGCCGCATTTGGATCCCAGCAACCATTGAGCAAGAGCCATATTAACAAAACAGTCTCGTACTCCGTCGATTATGGGGGGAAAAAAAAGCCCCAAAGAAGCAGTTTCGTGCAATTGGTGGAATTGGACCCACAGGCTCATCCATAAGCGAGTCGGTTCTAGCCGAAATTATTGCCGATTTTGTAATTTTATCTTCGCTCCACCATCTGTTCCACAATCTCCTTTCTTTTGTTTGGGGCTGCTTTACATTAAGTATAAATCATTAACCATGAAATTATACAAGCAATGACAGGGGAGAAATATTTGATGAAAGGATGACGCCATCGGGACAACTATCCTATCGATTTCCAACAGCTAGCAACGAGCTCTCATAAAGGTCAGCATTAGACTAAGGAAAAGAAACATACTAGACTTCTATATTCACGTTTTTATCAACACGTTATGTCTGGATATAGATGTCATCAGTTCCACTCTCTGGTTATTGAAGTATGATATGAACTACATAGGCAACGGCTAGGGTAGCTAACACCCAAGTCAGGTCGGTTTAAACAGTAAAAATTCTGCATTGTATCGTATTAGCAGCCAGATTAATAGAAAGCTACTATCTGGCTGAAATTTATTAAAAAGATATATAGGCGAACCACTTAACAGAAGCCTCCTGCAGTGGCTCATATGGTAAATAGTGCAGCTTAATGCTACGGTTTGGGGTTTTATATAGCCAAATACTGCATTTGGCGTGACATTTTAGACAGGTATATATTTCCAGGAAGAAAAAGCTTTGAAGACGTAGGTATGACTGTGCCAGAATGCCGTTGTCCATCACCACGACCTTAAGATCAACACACTGCGCCTGATGACAGCTTTATGCAGCCCTATCGCCCGGAACTTGGTCCTTCTCGGACTTCATAATTTCGTAGAAGTCTGCAAAAGTACAATCACTGGTAGGGGGCCAGGCCCTCTTTTCGCCCCCAACTTCGTCAATATACCAAAAATTCTCGTCATGTATATTGTTATTCTCCGCGAACGCATAGCACTGTAAGGTGATGCAAGTCTGCGTTGTATTGTTTTCCAGTGAGTGGACCTGGTAATGGTTCTCTCCTAGCCAAGTGACTTGGCCTTCCTTGAACTCAGTGGTATTACCCAACTGAGTTGGTCTGTTTTGAGTGTCAAGCGAGTCATACCAGGTACAATTAATCGTACCCGAGAGTACGCGAATGACCGCACATGCGTTGCCATGGTCGTGAATCACAGACCGGTGTTTAGGGGGCCAGACCTCCATTACGTAGGGAATGCCGGGGGAATTACCCTAAGCAGATGGTGTGTTAGTCATTTGTTTAGGATGGATGAAACTTTTTTTTATACCAGAGGCCATGAAGACGAACCTTGCTTGACCCTATGGTAACTCGGAGATATTTCAATAGAAACTCTGCGGGGTTGGGGTTGTCTGGGTTGTTACACTTCATTCTGAGCTTATTGTATCCCCAATAGTCCCGCGTTGTAACGCTCTTATGTATAACCTCCGGTAGGTCTTGAAAATCGTCCGTCTTGAGTGTTATGCCTTGTCCGACGATATTGTGGTACAGAGTCTGACACGCTCGGGGCAGATTCGCCCAAGTAGTCACCCTGGCAAGATCCAAGTCCCGTAGGCAGATTGATTCGTTGCTGACCACAATCGGTGGGAGATCCTCTGTAACTGGAAGCGGGAAACGCTTGATGGTAACAGGCTGTACAACCATGGTCAGCATATATTTCATATGGGATAGATAGTCATTATTTTCTGAGTCTCAGCTGATAGGACCTAGAGCACTTACCGAAACTTCATCATTAACCGAAACAGTTGTCAACTTTTGCAACAATGGGCCGTCCTCGTTCAGCGAAACCTGCTTAATTGTCAAAGCATTGCAGGTATAGTATTTCCCATAACGCATTCTGCAATTACTTTTATCGATAGAGAGCCAGTGAGTCACCCCATCGGGCGGTGCCGCCTCCGGTAAATATGGCACGGCTTCAGGTCTCAGGCACTCAGACACATAGGGGGTTCTCTGACCATTTGGTTCCCCTTTACTGAACGTACAGGTGTCCCGGGTTATATTCAACCAGAACTTGGGAGATCCGACAACGTTTGAAATGCAGAACTCCAGCTTCTGTGTAGCTCTCGATTTCACAGCTATGGTTCCCTGGCCTACTATGCCGAGCGTGGCTGTGCCGACCGAGATGTCGGAGGGTGATATAGGTGCGTCGGCGTAGCCAATGTCGCCTTCCGGTAGGGCTTCCCAGAAAGGGTTATTAAACTCAAGAGGGTCAGCCATATTGTTGGCTCAGTAGCGGACTAGTTGACGAGTGATCCGTTTTCAGACGTAGTAAGGTTTCCCAGTCAATGCTAATGCTCGTGACCGATCAGACTTATGAGAAAAAAAAAAAAAAAAAAAATTAACAAAACAGCTCAGATGGAAATGCGGAGAGAACACACAAAATCACTAGTAGGGCTGTGTTCAGGATATGTCACCCGCTGGGTATGTCCTTATATATCGTGAACCCATCGGCAGCATAATTACTTAGCGGGCTCGATCAGGTATAAGAATATGAATTAAATTTGAATTGATCGGCAGCATAACGCCACGTATGAGTAAACACGCGCTTGCTATAAGGGCCAATGCACCATGGTAGGATGCATTATCAAGGCATCTACCCACTGCATCTTCTCCCCGTTGATCTTGTGATGTTCGCAAAGTCCAATAGAGCCCCTAGATGGATAGTGAGCATACTACACATGTGTAGATCGCCACCTGGCTGTAGGGGTTTTCATTCCACTGATTAATCTGCATGTGATATACAGTACACATTGTTACGCCAGTTTTTGTGATTGGCAGTTGCGAGTTCATGATTCCGTACCTATGCTTATCGCGCAAATGGGGCGGGTTACCGTCAAGCATTATTGGGGATGATTCAGGCAGACATGCTTCTGGATCCTCGCCGCAAGGTATACACCACGTAATCCATGTGACTGGGCTCTATCGTCTTCGCAGGTTCCGTTAAAGGTGTCACTAAAAAGGAGCTTGAGCTCGGATACCTCAAGGTGAGCCATCAAGTCCCGTTTGCCAAAATGCCTTCTGTAGTTTTGCTTTGTCCTTTCTTTTGTTTTCTTTTCTTTTCTTTTCTTTTTTCTTTTTTTCTTTTTTTTCTACCTATCGACATTTTCTGGTGACCAATTGCATGTGACTTGTGGGCTCTGCGGATCGCCGCAGTTGAAGCCATCCAGGGAGATTGGTATCCGGCGCGGGCCGATTATGGTCTCGAGACGATGATAGTGCTTGGCGGCCCAACAACTACTTTTGGGTAACGACCAGGGGTAGAAACCTTCTTCTGATAACCTGACTACATCTACTTGGTCTGCAATGCTGGTATCGGGCCAGTAGGTGACATCCCCGCCACTGTCTGTTCGCCGTATTGCTGTTTCTTGCAGACGGAATGACAACAAATCACTCCACGACTGCTACCCAGAAGCATAATTTGCGTTTTGCTGTGGAGGTACTGCAGAGCAACATCTGGTAGTAAATCCATTGTCGCCAAATATCCGTGCATATCAGACTGTCATCCACTAAGCTGCAGTAATGCGGTCTCAAACTTCCAGTGGTCTCATCCTCGTAAATGGTTACTATACATTTTTGACCGTTGTCACGGTCTTTCTAGCCCATAGATCGATTAGATATAAGAGCTTGTTGTTTGCGGGGTACAACGCCTGGCTATCTTATGACCGCTTCCAGCTATGCAACTAATAGCTGAATTCTCCTGTCATAGAGATGGGAGATCGATTGGAATGTTCACCTCGATCGGTTTACTAATCCTCTGCGAGCCGAAGTGTCTAGCCACTTATTCCCGTCTAAATGCGTCCAATCACAGAGGCCGGAAGTCACGGAACAGTAGCCACCTGCACTGCTATAAGACATTATGTATCTTATTATCCCTAATGGCATTGTCTAACATAATAACGCACGTATTGATACAGATATAATACAAATCTTGTCTATCGTATTAGCTTATGCATGCTTGAAAGCTACAGGACCGATTGATCACCATGTGTACTACGTGTACACGCACCCACCCACTTTCCCTGGGCTGTTGGTACTTATTCTGGTAGCTGAATTATGTCAATAGGTGAAAATCGTCCACACGTCCAGTTGTTGGGACATCCTTCTCCGACAAACTATAAGAAGTCCTATTGGCGGGGTGAGTGATTTTATACCAGCTATTGTATTGCCGCTATCTCTGATATATCGAGTATAGAGGAAATATGATCCTTAACCCCGTGAAGCCGGAGCCTGTAGCTACGTTAGTATGGATCAGAGTAGGTCTAAATTTCCACATTGTAAGCCAGAATGATGGGGGTGGGTCGGGAAAGGAGAAAAATCATATTGGATTAATCAGTTGTACAGTGCTCTGCAGAGAACCCGCCTCTAGAGCTTTACTGGACCCTTTGGGAAATATCTCTGATTATTACGGAGGCAGATGATCATTCCTTTGCTGGGGCCAATTTTTCCCTGATAGACACCCCTAGTCCAAGAATGAGAAGCTATAGACTAGTTTTATGCAGCCCAGACAATCAGGCAGGGCCCGCATCGTGATCTGCATTAATTACCCAATTACTGACGTTGACTATGTTCAGTTGCTATGTGGCCATAGAATCTACCAGTCAATGTTCACTCCAATCACTACTAGAGACATCAGATATTGCTCAAAAAGGACGTCTTAATAACCTGGGATATGCCTGAGTGACCAGTGAGAACACTAGAGTTCATTGTGGATATGACTACTACCAGAGTCAACTGTAACCTTGGCCAATAGACCAAGCCAAAGTTGCCGGAGATGCCGGAGATTGGGCGGCCATATGAAATCCAATGGAAGGTTAGAACCTCCTCTAACATTACCAATTATGATCCTTTCTTTGAGTAACTGCTCGCCATGATAATTGTTAGCTGATTTAGAAAAAATCATTGATTTTTTTTTTTTTCGAAAATCATGACCATGAATCATGTAACACGCTAAGCAGAATCTACATTCATGCTCTACACTCCCTGTGCTCGGATGTGTATATTTGGTATTGCATGCGTAGCCGTAAGTTACTCGCGCAGCTAGCAATTCGCTTCCTTCGGATACTTCACCGAGCCAGTCCACCCAGGCTCATTACACTGCGTGCGAAGGTGATCTTTAGTACCATAACAGATTTAGTATTTGATATTCGAGACTTGAACTCTAAGCCGTGATTGGAAGATCAGTATCTCCATTACTGAATTTGTTCCAACCACTGACCACAGATGCTCTATGGATATGAAATACGGCTCGTTCTCTTACAAATCAATGACTTTTGGAATTTGTGTGCCAAATAACAAAAGGCAAGTTACTAATTATGCGGGTATGCGTAATTGATTGACAGCACAGCAGTGCCTGGGAGTGCTTGCTGATTTTGCCGTACAATGGACTAGGTGCTAACCCCGCACCCAGGAGTTGCGGACTAGGCCGACTGTGCAGGCTGATCATGTGGAAGGATCATTAGTCGAAAACCAGTGCTATGACCTCAGTTTGGGCACTCCTACCTCAATGGATGCCTGAGTACATGGAAATCAATACCTACATAACAGAATTTGTACAACGTCTTCTGAGAGAACCGAGGTGCTATGAACTATATATACCAGGCAAATTTGGGGCCAGTCTTGCCTAAGGGCCTTTAACCCTTCACTAACATCGACAAGACGAGGAATCCCATCTGTGCTTGATTATACCATCTTTATATCTATCCTCATTTTTAAAATTCGAACCTACAGCCGAAATGGCGCAGTCAAAGGCTCGGATCAATGGGAATGAGCTCGATGCTGCCTGGATCAAAGAGGAATGCTATAAACAGAACGAAAGACTCGGTCAACACATTGAAGATTCCCCGACTCAGCATTATTTACTTGTTCTTGGAGATTACCTCAAGCGTGGTCTAAAAGCAAAGCTCGAAGCCCTTGGCGTCCAAATCCTTCAGCATAATGGTGACAACATTTACTTGTGCTTTTGCAAAGACAAAGAAAGGCTGCAAGACATCTATGACCAAGAAAGTGTACACGGTGTCATCCCTTGCCCCTCAGAGCTCAAGATCGAGTCAAGCCTGCAACTATCTGGGGATGAAGGGATCGATACACGGCAGGTGCAAATATTCTTGCGCAGCGAAATAGATATGCCAGCGGAAAAGGTTTCCGAGGAAATCAGTACGGTGACCAGTATTCCAACTCAGTCAATGTCGATTGAAGATAACCAATCAGTAATCCGGATGGAAATAAAGCAAAATGACTTGATGCAAATTGCATCATTCGAGAGTGTCGCCGCTATCCGCGAGGTAGTTGACCTGGATTACAACATTTACACAGCGAGAGAGACCATAGGAGTAAACAAGTTGCCCAACAACACGCAATATGAGGGTGATGACCAGATAATCACTGTTGCTGATTCCGGATTTGACAAAGGAAGTCTACAGGACGTGCACCCTGCATTTGGCACACGTGTTTCGAAGCTGGTTGCTGTTAACAGGGAAGGGCAAACTAATGACAGAAATGGGCATGGAACACATGTCTGCGGCACTATACTTGGAAACGGGCAGTGTAGGGAAGGGAATATAAGAGGAACTGCTCCAAACTCTAAATTGGTTGTGCAGTCAATAGACGACGAGCAGGGTCAAATTATTGCCAACATGAATACACTCCTCCAGCAATCTTACTTCACCCATGCCTCTCGTGTGCATAACAACTCTTGGAGCCCTCGGTGGAAATCAGCGGTCACGAACTCAGACGGTAAAAAGGGTATACAACCCGGACAAAAACCATACAACTCGCAATCAAAGGATATTGATCAGTTCATTTACGAGCACCCAGACATGTGTGTTTGTTTTGCTGCGGGAAACTTCGGAATGGAACCACTCCAAAGCGGCAACACATCGTGGCCGGGCCATATTGGTGGCGTTGCGGCATCCAAAAACGTTATCACAGTCGGCTCTTGTCAGAATAGAACAAGTTCATATAATGATCTTGGAACCCAGTATAGCCCCAGGGGAAATGTCAGGTGGACATTAAGCTCTATCTCTCCATTCAGCAGCCACGGACCAACATTAGAATATCGCAGCAAGCCGGATGTGGTAGCTCCTGGTGGAATGGTACTGTCTGCGGCATCACGAGATCCTAGGGCTTTGGGAAAAGAGGGATATACAGATTATGGACCAGCTGAACTTCCGCTCTGGAGATATTTATCTGGTACTAGTATGGCTACTGGTCAAGTGGCAGG